CTGGGAAGTTTAAATGCAATAGATCCAATCAGCAATCATTACTCTACTCTACTCTACTCTACATTCCATTCCATTCCATTTCAGGCTCTGCCTTTGTCCCTTCTTTCCTGGTCCCCCTCGCCTACATCTACCCATTGCTTGCCGGGGTCTTACAGGACAAAAGCCTCTCCCCCTTCCTCGCCCCGTCTCCATTTTCAGGCAGATAGCTGCAACACTTGAAAGCAATTGCAAATGAGGGTCTTGCAAAAAAAAAAATTAAAAAAAAGGAAGAATGGTACTCGCCTGGCATCACGAGAGAAAAGGGAGTGCAAACTCCAGGCTTTTCCCTCTGCAAACCCGGCTCTCCGATCTCCAAGACAGGCGCGCAGCGGGAGGATAAGTTTGGCCCGGTAGCGCATGTGCTACGGCCTCGCACTGGTCTCGAGTAAGAGGTTAAAGGGAGAGAGTGCTGCTTCGTAGAAGGACCACGCTGGGGGTCACTTCCTGCCCCCCTTACGTCATTTCCTGCCCCCCCCCACGTTCCTGGCGTGGGGTCACTTCCAGGGAAAAGGTCTTTGGTACAGGTGTTCTGGATTGGACAGCTGGGAGCCTCTTTGCATGAGACCCCCATCTAGTGGTTCCCGCCTGCAATGAAAGGCAGAAAATTGAAGGAGGGGAGCTTGGGATGAGAGGAGAGATGGGGGATGGGAAGGGGAGAGGGGAGTCAATAGCTCTTCTGCTTTGTTTCATAGAGAATGGAATAGAATAGAATAGAATAGAATAGAATAGAATAGAATAGAATAGAAATAACGATAGAATAGAACAGAACAGAACAGTCTTTTTTAAGAAGAGAATGGACAGCCATTGATCTGAAATGATATAGGGTTTCCTGCCTGAGCAGGGGGTTGGACTAGGTCCCTTGCAACTTTATTTTTATTATTATTATTATTATTATTATTATTATTATTATTATTATTATTATTATTATTATTATTATACTGGACTAGACTAGACTAGAATAGAATAGAATAGAATAGAATAGAAATAAAGATAGAAATAACGATAGAATATAGAATAGAACAGAACAGAACAGTCTCTTTTAAGAAGAGACTGGACAGCCATTGATCTGAAATGGTATAGGGTTTCCTGCCTGAGCAGGGGGTTGGACTAGATGACCTCCAAGGTCCCTTGCAACTTTATTATTATTATTATTATTATTATTATTATTATTATTATTATTATTATTATTATTATTATTATTATTATTATTATTACTATTAGACTAGAATAGAATAGACTAGAATAGACTAGAATAGAATAGCAGAGTTGGAAGGGACCTTGGAAGTTTTCTAGTCCAACCCCCTGCTCAGGCAGGAAACCCAATACCATTTCAGACAAATGGTTGTCCAATCTCTTGTTAAAAACTTCCAGCATTGGAGCATTCACAACTTCTGGAGACAGGTTATTCCACTGATTAATTGTTCTAACTGTCAAGAAATTTCTTAGTTTTAGGTTGCTTCTCTCCTTGGTCAGTTTCCATCCGTTGCTTCTTGTCCTGCCTTCAGGTGCTTTGGAGAATAGCTTGATTCCCTCTTCTTTGTGGCAGCCCCTGAGATATTGGAACACTGCTTTCATGTCACCCCTAATCCTTCTCTTTATTAAACTAGACCAGGGGTCTTCAAACATGGCCCTTTTATGACTTGTGGACTTTAACTCCCAGAATTCCTCAGCCAGCGTGCCTGGCTGAGGAATTCTGGGAGTTGAAATCCACAAGTCATGAAAGGGCCAAGTTTGAAGACCCCTGTCCTGGACAGAAGGAAGTGAACTACCAATAACCTTTTCTGCCATCCTCACCACTCTCTGCACCACCTTCCTATCTGAAGCAGTGATGCTTCCAAAGCAGACAGTGATGCAATATGACCGGATGCTCTCTATCGTCCCTCTGTAGAAAATGGTAAGGACAGGGTACGAAGAAGATGCGCTTCTCTCATGTGACAAAGAAAATGCAGGTGCTGCTGTGCCCGCTTCCCCGGTGTCTCGCTGTTGAGCGACTAAGCTAGTCTCCATGCCAATCTGGCATTCAAGCTGCCGCTTGTACTATTGAACATAAAAAATGTGGCCTAATTGAGCATTGCTGCCTCAGTGCAACAATTTGTTTCCTTTGGATCTGTAGTTAGCCCTCAACGTATGACCACAATCGAGCCCAAAATTTCTGTTGCTAAGTGAAACACTTAAGGGAGTTTTGCCCCATTTTACGACCTTTCTTGCCACAGTTGTTAAGTGAACCACTTCATTTGTTAAGTTAGTAACGGGTTGTTAAGTGAATCTAGCCTCCCCATTGGCTTTGCTTGTCAGAAAGTTGCAAAAGGGGATCACATGACCCCAGGACACTGCAACTGTCATTAAATATGAACCAGATGCCAAGCATCTGAATTTTGGTCACCTGTCTATGGGGATTCTACAACGGTCGTAAGTTGAAAAATGGTCGCAAGTGATTTTTCCCCCAGTGCCGTTGTAACTTTGAGTACTCACTAAAGGAATGGTTGTAAGTCAAGGACTACCTATATGCGTGTGTCATGACCTCTTGTTGGGGTTTTCTTTCTGAAAGCAGAAGCTTAAACATAAAACAATATATATTTTTATATACCAAGAATATTGTCTTGCAAATTAGCCCACTCTAAACAGAGGAAAACCTTGAATGACATATACAGTAAGAAGGCAGGGGTGTGCTGGTCGGAGTATATAGCTATCTTAGGAATTAAGAGCTTTCCCCTTAAGGGATAGACTTCTGGGTAATGTAGTTTATGTTACCTGATCATATCTGTGTTCGATCTGGCCACTGGGAGGGACTTCTGTTTAATTACAGGATATCCTGACTACATGCCAGTCAGCAAGGTCTCCATGAAGTCCAGCCACGAGATCTAATTGCTTCGTTAGTATGGAAGAAGCTATTCTTTTTTACCTATGTGATGGGTCCAGATTACGATTTGTATTTCAGAAGAATCTCTAAAGTAACTGTAAGTTAATGTCTTGAGGATGCCTGATGAATTAAAGTAATTTGCATAAATCCCTTCCGTGGAGTTAATCTGCCTGTATCAAGCAAGATCGAGCAAGCCCCCTGCTTGATCCAGGACAAGGGGCGTGTGGCTGAATCTTCACAAATCACTGTAATATGTAGATACTTGGTTTAACATCTTGAATGAATTCAGAAAACTTGAATTGCCTGGCACTAATATCAATTTTTATTTCATATCTACTTACAACTATGCAGAATCCAGAAAAAAACAATAAAATGTAATACAAAATGAACTAATATCAGCAATGAAACAACTTTATTATCAATGTCTATGGAGATTCTCAATCATCCAAGTCATGGTTGTCCAAAAGGTGATTTTTCAAGAGGCAACTGGACTTTCTTGTTTTTCTTTTCTTTTCACTTCTCATCCAAGAAGCTTCTTCAGCTCTGACTGGATGTGGGGAATGAAAGGATTTATACTCCTTGCTAACCGCTGGTCATTTGCATTCTTTTAGAGTCGTTGAGGCCACTTGGAGGTTTGAGGACACAGATAACCTCCAGGTGGCCTCAACGACTCTCTACAAGAATGCAAATGATCAGCTGTCTGCAAGGAGTATAAATCCTTCCACTCCCCACCATCCAGTCAGAGCTGGAGAAGCTTCTTGGATGAGAAGCGAAACATCGTCAAAGAAAAACAAGAAAGTCCAGTTGCCTCGTGAAAAAGCGTCTTTGGGACAACCATGATCTGGATGATTGAGAATCTCCATAGGCATCTCATCCGTATGATCTTTTTATTGGGCGTAAAGGAACAGAGGTCACGGAAGAGCTTTCACTACTGAACTTTTTCTGCTATGTGAATCCTCTTATGAGAAGTAAGGTGACCGTTCTGACTGAAACTTTTTCCACACTCTAAACATTTGTACGGTTTCTCTCCTGTGTGGGTCCTTCTGTGGCACGTAAGCGAAGAACTCATTATGAAGCGCTTTCCACATTCCGGGCACTGATACGGTTTCTCCCCGGTATGGATCCTTCTGTGGCAAGTAAGAGATGAGCTAATACGGAAGGTTTTTCCGCACTCCAGGCATTTATAGGGTTTCTCCCCTGAATGGATCCTTCTATGGTAAGTAAGATCACTGCTGGTGTTGCAACTCTTTCCGCACTCCGTGCATTTATATGGTTTTTCGCCCGAGTGGAGTCTTTTGTGAGTGGTAAAGGAAGTCAAGCCATTGAAGCTCTTTCCACACTCCGTGCATTTGTACGGCTTTTCCCCAGTGTGGATCCTTTTATGGGAAGTAAGGTAACTGTTCATACTGAAGCTCTTTCCACAATCTGTGCACTTGTACGGCTTCAGCCCGGTGTGGATTGTTTTATGAGATGTCAGGTGACTGTTTTTACGGAAGCTCTTCCCGCACTCCAGGCATTCATATGGTTTCTCTCCGGAATGGATCCTTTTATGGGAAGTAAGATTATTATTCCTGCGGAAGCTTTTTCCGCATTCCGTACATTTATATGGTTTTTCTACTGTGTGGATCCTTTTATGGGCATTAAGATTACTGTTCTTGCTGAAGCTTTTCCCACACTCCATGCATTTATATCTTTTATCTCTAAGGTCAAAGTCTTGGTGTAAATTAAGAGAAAGGTTCCAACTATGCCTTTTTTCATCTTTTCTGCATGCATACGGAGAGATGAGGGATTTTTCCATGTCTCTATTTAACTGGGTTTCCTTGGGCCTTTCTGGTCCCCACAGATTTCCAAATATCTCTCCTCTGATTTCAGTTTCCATTGATTTTGAAGGCTCTACAGCTTGCTTTGTATAACTCTCAGTCTGTTGTCCACCACCTGCTGGGAACAAAATGAAAGAAGAAAGAAAATTTCATGGTTAAAGTACACATGCAGCATATCTCTATAGAAATGGGTTGAAGATTTCAGTTCTTCCTACAAGTGAGGAAAATATCAGATGGGAATTTCCCGTAATAAAAAGATTAGATGAATTAGAATAGAATAGAATAGAATAGAATAGAATAGAATAGAATAGAATAGAATAGAATAGAATAGGAATAGAGTAGAGTAGAGTAGAGTAGAGTAGAGTAGAGTAGAGTAGAGTAGAGTAGAGTAGAGTAGAGTAGAGTAGAGTAGAATAGAATAACAGAGTTGGAAGGGACCTTGGAGGTCTTCTAGTCCAACCCCCTGCTTAGGCAGGAAACCCTATACCATTTCAGATGAATAGTTGTCCAGTCTTTTCTTGCCACAGGAGAGAAGGGGTCAATTTATTCTCCAAAGCATCAGAGGACAAGACAAGAAACAATGGTTGGAAACTGATCAAGAAAGAAGCAGCCTGGAATTAAGGAGAAACTTCCTAACAGTGAGGACAATTAACCAGTGGAACACTGGTTGTTCCACTGATTAATTGTTCTAACTGTCAGGAAATTTCTCCTTAGTTCTAGGTTGCTTCTCTCCTTGATTAGTTTCCACCGGTTGCTTCTTGTCCTGCCTTCAGGTGCTTTGGAGAATAGCTTGACTCCCTCTTCTTTGTGGCAGCCCCTGAGATATTGGAACACTGCTATCATGTCCCCCCTCGTCCTTCTCTTCATTAGACTAGATATACCCAATTCCAGCAGCTGTTCTTTATGTTTTAACCTCCAATCCCCTGATCATCTTTGTTGCTCTTCTCTGCACTCTTTCTAGAGTCTCAACATTTTTAATGTGTTCCAATACTATTTGAGCTCAGAGGAAAGAGAATGCCTTACCTAAGGAGACCATATTGCTTGCATTTTCCAGCATCACGTCCTTGTATAGAGATTTTTGGTCAAAATTCAACATGGCCCACTCCCCCTCGGAGAACAGCACTGCTACATCTTCAAAGGTTATGGGCTCCTAACACAGAAAGATAACATTCCCAATTAATAGCTTCAAGAACAATACTTAGCAATAGCACCTAGACTTATATACCCTTCACAGTGCTTTACAGCCCTCTCTAAGTGGTTTACAGAGTCAGCATATTGCCCCCAATAATCTGGGTCCTCATTTCACCGACCTCGGAAGGATGGAAGGCTGAGTCAGCCTTGAGCCAGTGAGACTCGAACTGCTGAACTGCTGGCCGCCGGCAGAAACAGCCTGCAATACTGCATTCTAACCAGTGCGCCGCCACGGATCTTAACTAAAGAAGATCTCTGAAGAAAGTTTTTTTTTAAATAATTTTTTTATTAATTTTTATAATTAAACAACAAATAATATGATGCATCTACCTACACAAGCAAAACAGATAATCCTCCCTACATTTTCGGAAACGCTCGGCAGTCCCCGCCTTGCCTCCACCCTCATCCACTTTCCTCTCCTTCCTCCCTCTAAACCCACAACCTCTCCTCCTTCCTCATCACCAGAAGAAAGTTTGTTTTGACCAGGGGTAGGCAACCTTGGCTCTCTTATGACTCGTGGACTTCAACTCCCAGAATTCCTGAGCCAGCCATGCTGAGGGGAAAGGGAGAGGTTTTTAAGCTGAGCCATGCTGGCTCAGGAATTCTGGGAGTTGAAGTCCATGAGTCATAAAAGAGCCAAGGTTGCCTACCCCTGGTTTTGACCAAAGTCAGGGCCCAGGTAAGCCACAAGGGAGCAATAACACGAAACCTCTTCTTCTAGTCTCAGTCCCTTTTCATCTCATTTTAGAGGAGAATCTGTTACAGGCTTTAATTTTAAATCAAGTCTGACCTGTTGCTAAACAACACTTAGAATCTTTCCAACTTCCCCTCCATAATCCCCACCCAATGATTGTGCAGAATCTTCAAAGCCATTTTGTGGCTGCATTGCTTAGGAATCAACCGAGGACAAGACCTTGCTGCATCAGAGATTAGGGCTCTTCCCCATCGGGAAAGTACCGTGTTTCCCCGAAAATAGGACTGGGTCTTATTTATTTTTTGCCTCCAAAAGAGGCACCAGGTCTTATTTTCGGGGAATGTCTTTTATACTCACCTCCGGCACTGACAGCCCCCCTCCCCAGCTGGTCCACTTCTTCTGGGTCCAAAGGAGCAACTTCATCTGCAGCTGCACTCCGGCCTGCATTTTGCAGTCAGGCCTTTCCAGAAGGCCTATGCAGCCAAGTACCGAGCTATGGATTCAATTCAGAGGTCCTGCAAAACCAAGCTATGGATTGAATCCATAGCTCAGTTCTTGGCTGCAGAGGTCTTCTGGAAAGGCCTGTGACTGAGAAAGGCAGGCCTGGCTGAAGAAGACGTAGCAGAAGAAACGGGCTGGTGAGGAGAGGCCTAGCTGCCAGTTAAGTGGGTGCAGGGCGCGTGGGGCAGCTGCACAAACACACCTTGCCCTAGCTTGATTTTTTTAGGTGTGCGCCTCACCCCAAAACTAGGGCTTATTTTGGGGGTAGGCCTTCCTTTCGGGGAAACATGGTAGTTTTCTTCAATGAATTGCTCAGAGCACCGTGCATGACAAGTGAACCAGTCAACAAACTCCACTGAACACCGACACAAAGTTGTTGGGAGACCTCCTCCAGGTAGTAGCAAGAGTGCCATAACTCTGCAGATGACCTAATGGCTTTTCCCATCAGAGCGCTGGAAGCTTATCACGATCCGAAAAGCAAGCTAGAGGGAGCTAATAAAATAAAAGAGACAGCACCGGAAATGAGATTTGAACTATAAAAGATGGAATAGGATTCCCTTTGGAGAAATCATATTGTGTGATGTCTCCCTCAGGTGACTCCCCAGATTCCTCCTCAGATGTCAGCTCAGGGAAGGTTGAGCCCATTCCTGGCACGTCAGCAACTGAATTGATTGATGGCTCTGAACGGCTGTCCAAAAGAGATTTGGAGGAGGCTTCAGCTGGGGAAAGTTTGCAGTGGCCAACGGCCAGCAAAAAGGAGGAAGAACTGCCTCCACACCTGATATGAGAACACACAGGGCAGAGAAAAGGCAAGAGCAGAGAAGGTCAGCCAGACTACTTGAGAGGAGATGGCCTCACCCGTCTTGATGGGCTGCACCGGAAAGCTGGCTATTTATCACAGCAGACAGATGGAGGTGTTGCTGGAAACAATGCGTTGATTTTCTAGCTGTATGTTTGGTCATCTTGATTCCTGCTTCACTCTGGATTGACACCGTGTTTGGAATTGTGTCTTGGGGACACTGAACTTTTCTTGCCATGTGAGCTGTGTTGTGTGTACTGTAGATTTAAGTTTTTCCTGGTGGAGTTATTTTGTTTGAGCAACTATTAGACCATTGCCCTGTGGTTCCATCGTGGCCCGCTTGTGGCTGGATTTCAATGGGACAGTTCTAGGTTTTGGTGAAGGGAATTGCTGGGGAATATTAATACACTCACTAATCCACAGTTACGTGTATATGCGTGAGTGGGGCAACACACATTGGTACTAGAACAGACATGTCAAACACAAGGCCCGGGGGCCAGATGCGGCCCGTGAAGTGGTTTCATGTGGCCCGCGAAGCCATCCTGGAAACAGTGAGGAAACGGCCTCCGCTGCCTTGGCCCTGGCCCAGACCGGCCGGCAGCCAATGTACAATTTTATGGTGGCCATCTATGCTGAAACGCATTCAGTCTTAGCTCCACAAGGCCGTCTAGAAACAGCAAGGAACCAGCCCCTCCTGTGTTGGCCCCGCCCCCTGGGTGCATGCTGGGAGGTGTCACCCTTTGTGAGGAATGAAGAAATGGACCATGCCTTGACGCCTGCCTCGGTCCCACCCCCTTCTGCCAGAGACCCTCAGATCTGTCCCAGTCCTGCCCATGCCCCCACAGGCACCCTTGACGCGAACGATGTAGAGCTGGCCACGCCCACCCAGTAGGCCGCACCCACCCTGGCCACACACACCCAGTCCCCCCCGAGGGCAACCGCAATGCTGATGCGGCCCTCAATGAAATTGAGTTTGACACCCCTGTACTAGAAGGTCTTCCCCCTACCTGAGTTGGAAGTGCAATCACTGTTCCTTTTCCACCAGAAAGAAGAGCTGTTTCCACACCTAGCATCACTGCTGTTCCATTTGCTGAGAAAGAGATTAAAAAAGTAATTACATGTTTTAAAAACATCTATCACAGAGTCTGTAGGATTCTTGTAGGGAAAAATAGGAAGAAGGTGTGTGGAATATGTTCACCGCCTTATTTTCTAAAAATAATAAAGGTGGGCTATAAATCAAATCAACAATAACGCTGAATACAATGGCCTTCTTACATATAGAGCTAAAGTTCAGGTAGTCCTCGATTTATGACAATTGAGCCCAAAATTTCTGTCACTGAGGGAGACATTCGTTAAGTGAGCTTTGCCCCATTTTACGACCTTCCTTGCCACAGTTGTTAAAGTGAATCACGGCAGTTGTTAAGTTAGCAACACGGGTGTAATATGCATCTGACTTCCTCATTGATTTTAGCTTCTCAGAGGGTCGCAAAAAAGATGATCACATGACCCCCTGGGGACACAGGAACCGTCATGAGTCGGTTGCCAAGCATCCAAATTTTGATCACGTGACCATGAGGATGCTGCAATGGTCGTCGGTGTGGAAAACAGCCACAAGTCACTTTTTTTTTCAGTGACGCTGTAACTTCAAATGGTGACTAAATTAGCTGTTGTAAGACAAGGAGTCCCAATATAA